AAATTGATGCTTCAAACAAGCACAACCTTAATTACTGACCGACATTTAGCTAATGATAAAAAATTAAACAAAAAATTGGATTCAAGTTTACTTTCTAGAAATTGATGCGTTAAAACAAAAACAATCTTTAATTACCCACTTAGATTGACCTAATAATGGAGAATTTAATTTGGATAGATTGAATGAGGTCTTAAATTTTATTCTTATTGCCATCATTGTACATAAAAAAAATAAAAAAATAAATAAAAACCTTAATTTATGCATGTATAGCTTAGTGAAGCAAATATATTATGTAGTTATACATAAATGACATTATGTACATACTCTTGATGTGGCAACAGGAGGTAAAAAAGATAATGCTACCATCATTTATAGAGCTGGCAAACCATGAAAACATTACTCCACGACAACTATTCATCAAGGATCACCAAGAGTTGCTAAAAAAGGGAGAGTCATGGATGAAAAGAACAGCTAACTCTTGTATGGTTGTTCATTACTCCACGAGAACTATTCATCAAGGATCACCAAGAGTTGCTAAAAAAGGGAGAGTCATGGATGAAAAGAACAGCTAACTCTTGTATGGTTGTTTCAACCCTAATTGCAATAGGAGTGTTTTCTGCTGCCTTCAGCGTCCCAGGTGGTAACAACGACAACTTAGGATCTCCCAATTATTTGACGAAACCCTGGTTCATGGTATTTGCATTATCAGATGCATTGGCATTGGTCTCTTCCTCAACCTCAATCCTAATCTTCTTGTGCATCCTCATTTCACGATATGCTGAGGAAGACTTTCTCAAGTCATTGCCATTGAAGTTGATATTTGGACTAGTGGCATTGTTTATCTCAATTATCAGCATGATGGTGTCATTTAGTAGTGCTTTCTTCATAACGTATTACCATGGTACAACGTGGGTTCCTATCTTCATAGCTTCACTTGCGATTTTACCAATAACCTTGTTTATATTTCTGCAGTATCCTCTCTGGTATGACATATTGTGTTCCACCTACATTTGTGGTTCTCTGTTTAGACCAAGTAAACGCATGATTCACTAGAGAGGTTGTGGCCTTGTGCTTGATAATAAATTTTCATTTTCTTTGGTCTGCGTCTAATTTTTGTGACTTAGTCATGGCTCAAAATGATGACTATATTAGTAAAAAAAAATGCAAAAGCAGTTAATTCAAAGAAAGGCTACTTTCCTAATTGTGGATACAACCTATGAAGAGATTTCCAGTACTTCTCTATAAAAAAAAATAATAATAATAAATAAAGGGTTTTTTTTAGTAAATACACTCTCACAAAGTAATTTTGTCATGTAAACATGCTCTATATCATATAGGCACAAGAAGTAGATCAAGGAGATTGCACTTTTACCTAAATAATAGGAAGATATAAATATAAAAACGAAAAAACTAAAAAGTTCCAAAGTGACTTCGAACAATTGTTCAAGATGTACAACAGAATTGCTATTGTAATTAAATAAACAAAAGAGATATAAAAGTGAATACGACAAGGAAGGATAGATTCTACAAGTCTAGCTAGTCCATGCTATGGTATTCTTTTTATTAATTTTTTTCACGAGAAAACATGTATTCTTATCACCGATACAAAAGAGACATTTTATGTCTGTTATTTTAGACTTTTTATGTCGAAAAAATGTCTGACGTTAATGCGAGAGACATAAATTTATATCGGGTGTTTTAGCCGACGTAAAATTACGTCAGACATCCTCCACATTCAACGTAAAATGGTTGACAGACAAACAAAAAAAATAACTTCAATCCATGAACACGTCCAAACAAATACCCAAATGCTTCAATCCAATCGGAGAGATAAGTCCAAAATAAAAAATGAGTCTTGCCGCCGCCGTGCATTATGAACAAAAAACGCCCAAAGGTCTCACATCGCTATCACTGAAAATCTTTGAAGAGGAAAACAATGTCAAAACATTCATGTGCAAGAATAAAATAACATTTTTACACAAAAAGATCAATACACGCAAGAAAGCATTAACCTCAATCCATGAAAACGCCTAAATGCTTCAACCCAATCAGAGAGATAGGTTCAGAATCAAAAACGGGTTTCACCGTCGTTGTCGTCGCTGCTCACCATTGTTATCGCCGCTCACCGTTGTTGTCGCCGCTCACCGTGACAGAAAAACACCCAAAGGTCTCATACCACCGTTGTCGAAAATCGCTAGAGGAAAACCTTAGAGAAAAACAATGAAAAAACACTTGCGTGTACGAAAAAGACAAAGGTGCTAGGGGGAATAAAATAACTTTTTTACGTCGGGCCAAAATGGGTATGACGTAAAAATTGAAATCTACGTCGGACTTTACTTCATATTCGACGTAGATTTTAGTTTTTACGTTAGGCTCCTTTGGTCCAACGTATAAAAGTTTATATTAATTTTAAAAATGCCACCGCGTATTTTTTACGTTGGGTATTTTTATAACTGACAAGAAAATGCACATTCACGTAAAAGATTGACTTTCCATTAGTGTATACCAGACTTAAACATAAATAATAATAAATAAATAAAAAAGTTGATTAGGTCTTATGATTACGAGTGGAAATAAATCAAATAACTTATTAGGGGCGCGTACTCTAACATGTTTATTAAAAAAGTTAAACATTTTAGAAAGTCTTTTAACTAAAAAATCAAGTTTTAAGCTTTTAAAAATCTTAGTAGATCCATAAACCAATCAATTTAAAATATAAAACAATAATTATATCAATTTATAGTTAATTTTAATTTTTAATATATATAATTAATAACAATAATGATATATTTAATATTTAGGTGTATTAATTAGATATATTTACAAGTCTTGTATAAAACAGATTACAAAAACAGACTTTTAGATTAGTTCAATCTTTCAAACAAGTTAAACTAAGCCTTCAAATAAAACCCATAACATGTAAACAGACCAAATCCAAGCTTAGTAATTTTGTTGTAAGTCAGACTTAAAACTGCCAAAACTTAACCTAGTCTAATCTGTTTCTACTACTATTCACGATATAATACATTGTTATGAATAATGGTTGCAATTCAACACTACTAGAAAAATTAAAATTAGAGAGGGAACAA